AAATGGTTTCTTCTCGAAGTGACATTTATGAGCCCTAATCTGAAGGCTGCGCGAGGAAGAGAAATTCCCCCTTGCGAGGGAGACTAATTGAGTGTGCGATGGGAAATATTAAATGATAACTGATTCTGATGATCACAGCGCGAGAGGCTGTAAAGCTTTTTATGGTGGCGAAGAAGCAAGAAATGAGAAAATTATTAGTGGTAATTGCAGGTGATTGCAAGTATAGAATGTTTATTTAAATCCCGCATCCGATTGTGATCTACACTTTTACGATCACATCGCCGTTGGTGAAGTGATGGTAATCAGAGGGTAGTGAGTAATTGCTCCTTCCTCAATCAGCCGATCAACCCCTCATTCCGAGGTGAGTGTTTGCTGAATGATCGACGCCGCCGGGAGCGATCGTGATCTGCAGCGCAGCCCGGAATCTGGAGCGTGTGTGATGGTTTTTCGGCGTTGCAATGTCGCGCCTGGGCCATTATGGTTCGCGATCACGCGACGGCATCCAGATGTCCGCCCGAATTGAGACCTTAATTGCCAGAGACGCGTAGATCACCGCACACACATCTCTCGGCCGATGTGGCGAGACTCTCAGGTCACGATCTCTCCCTGGCCAGATCGCGCGCACAGTCACCACAGGCCGTCCCGCTCTGGCGCGCCGAAGAAGTGTTGGTGAGCAAACAAGGTGGCTCACATTCGGCGTGGCGCGCAAATGGCAAGAGTTGCACCTGTTCGTCAATCGGAGGCGTCTATTGGCGCTCGCGCTGGGTGTGGGTGGGGGGAGTTTGCTCAGTGGCTCCCCCACACCATTGGCACGGCTCCTAAGTGGGGCCCACACTCCATAGACGCGCGCGCTCGATCTACGCCGCGCGCTCACCCACCGCGGCCCGGCGAGCCCCTCGCCAGCCCCCCAGATGCCGGGGTCGCGGGGAGCGGATGCCCTCGGGGACTCATCTGCGTGCCTCATGTAATTTCACTGCAGAAGATCACTTACCGAAGCCACACAATTTATCCGACACAACTTCTTGTGTTCTACCTCTTGTACACACGAGAATGATGCGTGTGATTGATAATCATCTTCGGAGGAGTTGCTCTCCCCGTCTTTTTCGGCCTCTTGCACTGCAATTTTGTCGGCCGTCCCGAGCGCGGGGCGGAATGCGAGGGGCTTAGGCAACAAGGCAAATTACAATATGCGGACAATGTAAGTGTATTTATGGAATTTGGCATCAAAATCATCTGTCTCAGCGTACAAGTTCCCTTTTCACATGAATCAAAGGGGAATTTTCGAAAGGGATATCATTTTATCGGGCAAGAACATGTCTCTTCACGCTATAATTTAAGATGAGTATCTAACAAGGCAGAAATTGCTGTGTTGTCCTTGTCATCTTGAAAATTACCAACTCTGACACTTCTCCTGAACGATCATCGGCAATCTGTAAACTAGGATTATTCTAGACTTTGGACTGCAATTATAATGCGAATCGTTTAAATATCGTCCCAAACAGACGCTCAAAGGTAAAGATTTTACTCTATTTAACTTCATAACTTCCTAGAAATCGCACAAAATGGAGTTTCTACTCTAGAAGATGCATGAAAATGTAAGATCACAGCGCTTCCACGTGTGAAGAATTAAGAGAAGATGGCCATTGCCACTGAATTTGAATAATCATATCAATAGAATCTATGTCAAATTCCAACCGAGCTTTCCCATCTCTCGCTCACATCTCTTATTGTTAATTACAAAAGAGGAGAAATAATACAAATCATTAAAAGTCGCATTGGGAAGAGTTAATTTGTGATGGTCGCCAGAGATGAGAATAATATTATCGTAATTTTATTGCAAACAAATCAGCACGAATTCTAACTATTGAATTTTAGCAATTAATCTGACAATTTATGATTCTTCGCAGCATCTTCTATGTCTCTCAATCACACGAACCATGCGCGGATATTGAATTTCTTTCGGAGAGTGTGTGTTGTGCTGTTGCGTGAGACGCGCGAGAATGTTTTTATTTTGATTTCGCCCCAAACGGCTCATATTGCATCCAGAAATGGTCACCACGTAGTGACTTGTTGCGGCCAAATTTAGATGCAAAAAAATCTCACCAGGTCGCGTCGAATGGTCATTTTCGGCATTCCGCGAGGCTCTGTGGAGTTGCAGCTGAGCGAAAATTAGACAATCAGCAAAAGACGCTGCAAGAGACCCACAAGGAAGATCGACAGACACGAGATAAGGTGCAATAGAGAGAGAGAGAGACTTCACGCCACATTCATGCAACGATCATCGATGTTGGAAGGTGTAAATTGGAAATGTATCTAACTATCGACTGCTCACCTCATTAATCATGAATTAATTAAATCTGCATGTAACAGTCGCCAATTATGAATTCCTCTCTTCCTCGCAGTGACATTGAGGCAGACCGTGTGAAAATTTATGAATTTTCTCCGCGCCGCTCGACACTCTCATTTCGATCGGTATCGCTCAAAATTTTTCAATTAAAATTCGTTACGCGGTAAATTGATCCATCCTGCGCGCGAGTTGTGAGAGTCGCCACGGCGGCACGAAGGTGACCCACAAATGCCCACTGATCCTCCCGAGGAGGCCAGACAATTTGTCCAGCGCTGACGCTCATCCTCGTCCCGCCATTTCGGCTCGCACTCCACTGATGGGTCATCATCAATATATGTGATTGCAATTGCGAACGCGCGTGCGACATGCCGAGAAGCCACATTTGGTCATTTTGCCCGGTCTCGCATTCGCCAGCCTCGGAATAGTTTTTCCACGCAATTATGGCAAAAACGACACGCCATCAGCTCCCAATAGTGCATTGAGAGACTGCCGAGAAAAAGTTAATAATGTGTAATATGGAAAAATTGCATCAAAGAGACAAGACTTTGGCACATACCAATGTGGCAAATACACCATTCACTCTTAGAAAGGCTCAACAATTCTCCCTCCCATCTTCACTGTCCAGTTCAGTGACTAAATGCTGGCATATCACCATTTTTGTTAATAAATTGAATGCTTGTGAGAGACACACAGAGGGATAAAAAAGTGCCTGAGATTAACTAAAGAACTTGTTTCACTTGGGAGTCTTTTTGCCTCCTTTTCTTGGCTTCTTCAAAGAGAGAGAGACTTCTATGCATTGCAGAAGGTGTTCTTGCCGCCAAGCGAGAAAAACGCACACACTGAGTTGTGTGGAATGGGTGGAAATACTTGAGAAATGTTCAATTGACAGATTTTACACGCTCTGTGATCTGTTTGAGCAAATAATTGCAATTTGAGTGGAGCAAATGAAAAAATAATTCATACCATCCGGTCTATCGGGAGGAAATTGTGGCGAACCGCACAATGACTTCCAATTGCCACTGCTCAGAATTATCTATTCCCCACATAAGTCAGTAATTTATGGCGCTGAATAACTTAAAAGACAAGGATCAGGCGGAAATTTGAAGGAATCTCATCACAATGATTGACAAATTGGATAATTTCTCTATTGCAAAATTCAACTATCACGAGATTTCTGACAAAATGAAATCAAGATAAGCAATTATGCACAATTTAATCGCGTAAAATTAACACCAGACAAATTTCATTTGACATTTTTCCCCCAATTTGCCGACAAAATTGATGCAAATCTTGGTTAAGTTAGCATATTGAGCCATATTTGTATACCAAGTAAATAGTTTGAAATGGGATTTTGCAATTCATATCGTTTACTTAAAATTCAAATTGATTTGACTCCCTAATAAATAAACAAGAGGAGAGATCATGACCTAGACTGAGACTCAACACTTCTGTGCGTCAGTGTAAGATAAGAAGGAAGAAGTCGCATGGAAAGTCGATGAAAATCAAAGTAGAATTAATCTAGTGAGATTTTCCATAAAATATCTCCAATCATCACGAAAGACTCGGACTTTGGCGCCTCTCGATGAGAAATTTTAATGAAAAAAATTTGTATTCTCCGGATAGCTCTGGCCGAAGATGCTGAGAGAGAGAAGAGTTTTGGGAGGTGAAGGCAAGACAAGAAACCGAAGGAGTTAGATAAGAGTCTTAAATAACATTTTCAATACGCATTAGTAGCATGATAATAAATGTCTCTTTTGGTAGTTTATGATAAGAATACAGGGGAAGACACTGTCGAGAATGGATCCAGCGAGAGAAATGGATGGTGGAATTCATTTTCACCGGTGGGAACAGGAGAAATAAAAGTAGAAAAATAATCATTTCAGTATTTTAGTGTTTCCAACATAAATTTCACGACGAGATGCGCGATACACATTCTCATCGCGCGGCGTGATGGTGGTGATTTGGGTGGGAGAGTTTAAGGAAAAAAAGGTAGTCAAATGCTTGGTCGATTGTAAAATCGCCATCAAATCTAAATTAGATCACGAAGTGCTGTATTAAATTGTGAATTGGAGTGGCAGAAGCCCCAGCCAAGAAGCTGTGCGCTGTTTTGCCCGAGAGAGACGATCTCGCGCGCGAGATGCTGAATTATTGGGCCGATTTGCATATAGGCTGCCATGGGGAGAACATCGCGCGAGATGATGTTCTTCAAGGCATCAACACGCCCGGACTATTGCCTCATTTGCCTTCTATGCATTTTTCCGGCGTTCAGCGTCTCGATGAGACGCCCAACTGACAGATTGTGGTTGATTTCTTGTAGGATTTCTCACACAATTGCCATTTCTCTCATGGCATCGCCACACTTCTTACCTACGCCATCAAGAGTATCACTTTGTGCGCACCTCCTTTGCACCTTTGCGTTTTGCCCCCGCGCTCTCCGTTTTGCTGGTTAGCTACTTGAATTGAAAATAATTATTCCCCACGATTGAGGTGGCCATTCGTGTGAGTGCGCAGTTGATTTATTCAAATCTAGATGTACCGCGAGGAGCCACAATGAGCCAGCTGCCGCGCCACCAGCACACATTTTGAGTGTTGAGAAGATCGTGGAGCGAAAGAGTTCGATAGAGACGTTAAATATGATCGAGTTATGACTTACCACCATCTAAGAGATCTGTAACGAGAGAAAAAGAAACCATTGTGAGTGAAATATTACAAATGACGACTCTATTTCAATTATTTCAATTAGCCTCTTTTCATCCTCCCATGAGACTTTATCTATGCTTCTAATAATCATATTAATAAATTTTGAGAACTTTCCACGTGACATTTAATGCCTCTCAAGCTCTTGCGCCTTGTCCGCAGCTTTTGACTCTGGGGATTCATGGATTTTGTGACCTGATTGGATTTAAGGTCAGCGGCTTTTTCGATTAGAGTGCAGATTTAACGTGGCGCGGTCATAAACTCCAAAGTGTTAGGAGTGTATTTATAGGTGCATAGCTCAGGTTCCTACCCAAGACAAATATGACAAAATTGTTTGGCGAAATTCTTTTTAGAGAGAGTCCAAAAGATTAAACCCATAAATCATTCATTTCAGACTTGGCGTTTATTGTCTTGTTTAAATTTTCTAGTTCAACCATAAAACCCCCCAAAATGGAGTGTCTTAATCGGAAGGATGACAAGAAATCTGATTGATCCTCAATCTCACACGTGTGCTGACTTCTTTCACCTGCGAAACGGTGTCAATCGAATTAGTGAAAATCTCCCTCATTGATCAGCAATCGAGAGTATATAAAATTCAGCATGGGCAATTATTTAATACTCGCGATTTCGAAGCTCGTGCATCGACTAGACATCGATCAATTGCATCACCGCCGCGCGCTCAGCGATGTGATTTATGGCCTCATCGCGTCTTTTTTCGTCTGACAATTTTCATTTTGCAAAATCCCATTGAGGCGAATTTTCATCAGCGCGCGATCTTCGCGGTGGTCGGAGTCGAGAGATGCGTGCGCGCCCAAGTTTAAGTGCATAAGCACACACTTGGTAGCCATTTGTTTGCCTTGTTGTGCAATTAACTCATGCAGATTTGTTAAATTAATTGCTTTACTTGCGCTTAATTGTTCTTCTGACAATTTCTCTGGTATGGAAGAAGAGCTTCCTCCTCATTATTTGCACACGTCTTCTTCATCAACCCTTGAGGATTTCTTTCTTAACCTCCATCAAGGATTCAGAGAGAGATGGGAATTGCGGAGAGTGATGCGGTGAATGCCCACCCTCAGTCCGCCAGTGAATATGGAAAGCGATAATCAATTTCTCAGCACCAACCCATCCATCAACGGCCCCAGGAATCTCTGTTGGCACGTTTCACCCATCTCTCGAGATAATTCACGCAGGCGATTGAAATAGAGGAAGTCTGACAGAAACAGCAGAGAGAAAAGTCTTAATGAAGGTACAACACAATGAGGTATCCGTAAACAAATAACGCGTTCCTTTCCCATAATTGAAATCAATTAATCATCTCGATACACCCTTTCCTTCGGTCAGTCTCTCGCGCCATGTGGCTTCCCTTCCTCTCCTTTTTTTCCACTCTATTCCACCTCCTCCTCCGTCAAATGATGCATACATTACTCCGTGCCATACTATCGTGCACATCAATTGCCAATGCTCATGAGAAATCACGGCGCAGCGGAGAGGAGCGAGAGATTTCAGGTGGAATTGTGCGCTTTTTGATCTCCTCCACAGTATAATTGTTATTGGACCCCAGCGTGAGTCAGTAAACCACCACCGTGAGTCCGAAGCCACGGTCGCCGTGGTCTTTCCACCCAAGACAATCCATCACAGCCCAACCACCGCCACCATCTCTCTCTCTGCAAGAAGGCGATCCAATTTGATTTATAGCTTGTTAAACAAATTGATCTGGCACAGAAGAGCGTGTCAGGTTTCTCCTCTTGCCCAGGCTCTCCGAGTGGCGAAGATATCCACAAGATCGTGGGCGATTCCCTGAGCCATGCACGAGATCTCCAACCGAAATGTGTGAATTGTGCGCAAATATGCGTTAATTTGAAGTATGTGACTTGACAATTATTGCTCTCTAATATCTAACACCTCTTCCATTCCGCACGCACTTGAGACACACACTGGAGTGTCGCAAAGTGTCTTGATAAGACTGATGATCGTGTTGGATTTATTTGAGCTGAGATTCCTTAAATATTTCTGGGGGAGAACTTTAACCTCCAGAGATTTCTCGCGCGATATCATTATGGGCAAACTTGTTGATTTCCATATGGAAAATATTAATTTAATAAGAGACCATGAAGAAGGTACACCAATCACTTTTAACGATGCCCACAAATACCCAAATCAATCGATTATATTCCACCTGCTGGCGAAGAGGTGGGAGATCTGGAGGGTATCTGATCAATTTTATGACTTCATTAATTGCCAAGATAGCCAGAGCTAATTAATCCCCTTCTCCGGCAATCCCAGAGACTCTCTCTCTCTCTGTCAGAGATTTACATCTCGAGGGCGCTCTCTCGGTGGAGACGACACCGAAAACCCACCCAAAACCTAATCGATGAGGCTCAATTGGCCCACAGTTTAAGACACAAATCCCAGGGATTTGCTAATCGCATCACATTGTGAATCACTGGGCATAAATTGGACGTGAATTGATCACAAAAGGTAGAAAGATGAAGCACTTTGGCTTCCTCATGGTGACTTCTTCCATATTGATTGGCCATCCCAATTAATTTAGTTGAATGTCGGAGGGCTTTTTGCTCTTAAGCGCGCGCCGTAAAGCAAAACGCTTTGCCGCATTTTCCATTAACCAAATTGGTGAAATGGATGTGTTAGCATTGAGGTTGGATGTTTTTTCTGCTTCACCTTTCACCACAATTTTCCCTCCTTTATCCGAAGAAATTTCCACCCGAAGGAAAGCCACGTGAATCCAGAGACAATCGGCACGACAGCCAATTCAATGGTTTTTGATCGAGAATGCGCAGCAAATGGCATAAAATGGTCTTTTATATGAGAAGTGTGCAAATTTTATGGCGTTTCGTGTTAATTGTATTATATGGCTCGCTTTATATTTTCGATGGTGATTCTTGAGCTCAAATGAGGCATGTTTAACGGTGTGAGCAATGAACTTAATGAGGCACAGGAGATGTACATTGCCTAATTCGGTGGAGCATTTTCTTCTTGCCCAGTCTCGCCCCGGATGATTAAAGTCGGTACCCGGAGGTGGGAGTGCGCGCAATCACCGTTGACCATGTCTTCGGCTCAGTCATGCCATGCCCTCATTCAATCGCATCACTTTTACGATGTCCTCTGGCTGCGCGAATAATTCGCTCAGCATTAACGAGACACCATCACTCCCCTTCAATTCAGACGTCATAACCCAGCTTTATGCGCGCGCGATGCAACCGAGGGCAGCCAAACACAGCACTTGGCCTCCCCTTCGCGGCATGGCCACTAATGGGTGCCAGTTTTCAGGTGTATTTCTCCAAATTCGAAAATGAGACTCGACTTGCCGTTTTTGCTCCTCTTCCACGGTTTGTAGAAGACAATAATTGAGACGAATTTGTAGAAAGATTTATGTGATCATGCGAGTTGTGTCGTTTTTTGTTGCATCCCAAAACCAAATTTGTATTATAATAGCCATCGATTAGGGAAATTTCATTAAAGCCATTCTTCTCGTTCTCCCGCTAATGGGGAAGTTCTCTTTGGCGCTGCCGTTTTTTCCACCGCGCCGTGCCACAAGTGCGAGAGAATTGAGATGGACAAATTGAATAAAATTGAAAATTGACTAAACTGGCCGAGGGGAAAATGTGTGTCTTTAAGAGGTGAAAAGGCGAGGAAGATGAGGAAATAAATTTTAATAATTTAACACCTTCCCAGTATCTTCAGCAGCTGGGTGGGGAGAATGGATGGGTTCTCACCAGATTCATCCTCACACATTTCCAATTATATGGAGCTTGGCAGAGGTTCCGATAAAGTGCGAGAAGAGGAATGACTACAGAAGAAGCACTTAGCCGCTAATAATTTAATCACCCCGGCCGACCAACTTGGGGCTCTATTTAATGGTGAGGCTCTCAATTGAGCCGCGATGTCGCTCTCGAAAAACACGATAAGTCCAACACCTCTCTCTCTGCCCAGCTGGCCACGCGAAAACGCGAGCATCGATCACACCGCTGACCATCGGATTGGAAGGTGTAACTGTAATTAATCGCGCTATTATTATCTGAAAACTATTAGTCAGACGGATGTGTGGCATGAATCTCATTGAAATTTTTCGTCTGATATTATTCAGCCAACTTTCTCACACTCCATCTCAGCCCGTCATCTCGTCATTCTTGACGCTGTGACTTCTTCAGTCCTCATCAAAAGTCAATGGCAATCGATGGCAGGGCTTTCCACTGTGACTTCGCAGGTGCCGCCAGTTTCCTCCAATTCCCTCTCGCTCTATTGCCGGCCACAAATTGGCAACATCATCCACAATCGCCTTCCCGCTCTCGCCATCGACATCGCATGTGAATAAATATCACCCGTGATGGTCACCGTCCAGCTTATATCCATTCCACTAATTAACATTCTCTCGCTCTCACGCGTTCGCTGGGCTTTTGGCGGGTGGACTTGAGTGGGTGACGTCAGATACCGCGGATACAGTGCGCGACAGCGAAGTAGGAACGCCTCATCCTCAAGGGTTTTGCAAAAATTCCACGAAAGATGAACAGTTCTTGTGACTTGAATTTTTTGCCATCGACTGTTCAATTCTCCAAACAATGCCGAAATGCTCGTCCGCATTTCAGCTCTTTATGGTCAGTGGACCAATTTGTGAAACTGCGATCGAGTGTAAGCGAGGTCGAAGCTTCAATTTCCGCTCTTCTCTTGGCCATTTATTGATTTTTACTGCCACCAAAATCGTTCTAGATCTTCCATCGGTGCGCGTACAAGAAGTTGAAGGCGGAATTTGAATATCTCTCATCATCACAATATAAATCAAACACTGTTTACCATTACTCAATACGCGCTGAGTCAATTGACAATGATCATTGAATAGTTATTTAAAGTTTATGTCACTGGGTGGATGTTATTTATTTGAAAATCACTCGAATATCTCACGTTGCGACGCGCTTTGATTAACATTTTATGCAAAGAGACGAAACGAAGAGCGGC